TTTTTTTTTGGAAAACGGTTCATGTTATTGAGTTGCGGTTTGCGGCACAACGTGGCACAAACGTAGCACAACACAGCACAATAAAAAAAATCCAAAATTCGAAAAGTGCGGGGCCAACTTCACACACGTCCCAGCCAAGCGATCTCTCGAGACTTAACCTCCAAAGGTTTAAGTATCCCTACTTTATCCTTGTCGTTCTCACGTTCTCAATGTTTGATTCCGATCGGAATCGACATTTCGCCAGCTCGCGAAGTACCAGAAACTTTCCGACTGTTTCGGAAAGAATCCGTCTGTCCATGATAACCCATCTAGTAATATCTAGTGATAAACGGAATAATTCCGATCGAAATCCATTCCGACTTTTTCCATGATAGGTACCCTGAGGGAAATTTCCCAATGACCAATCAAAGCCTGTTATCATATCAAAATCCTGTGAACCTGATTCCTCAATTTCCAATTTGACACATCCTACCATGGAACCACCTCCTAAAAAACGACTATATAAACTACGACATCGCGAGATACGAAGAACAGACGGACAGAAAAAAAATATATTTCACTTAGCTCGTGAAAGCTATTAGAATCAGTACTCAGATTCGGTCATCATTACCCACGCAGACCAGGGGAACCGAAGCACTGACCAACAAGTATCCAAACAACCCGTCTGCCCGGACAACTAAACAGTAAGTCGCTCCTTACAAATTACATACTCCAGTTCCTAACATAAATTATCCCTTAGTGACCAATCAAAACGCCACCGTCCCCATCGAGGTTGGCTAAAAAGTCGGGCTTTCCTCGAAGCGCGCAGACTCCTAGATCTAGCGTACCAGGAATTCTGTAACTGATCAAACAAAATCTACCGACGACGCAGGACAACCCACATCATTACCTACACAACAGCCAGCACAGTTACTTCACCCACCTTCGTCATCACCGGCTCCCCCGGTCTCTCCAGAACAACCGGCCCATCATGCACTAAAGGCGATACCTTCCCCTCCTTTTCCGCGATCCGCGTGGTCAGACGCTTTGACGGAGTGCTTACTTCCCGACATTCCAACACACACTCCTGACTTCCCTCTCCACTCCGCTCCAGCGTCACCTCGTCCACCATCTCCCGCTGATTCCACATCAAGCGTGGAAATTCTGGAAGAATTTCTACCTTCTCCCTCCCAGCGCAACCGATTTCCTATCTATCCTGGGACGCTATTCTTGAAATGAGGACCCTAGATATCGCATACGATATCGCATGCGTTAACAAAAATAGTATTCTTGAATGGGTGACATGTATCGTATGCGAGAAAATATCGAATGACTGATATCGAGTGGGTATAGCCCATGCGATATGCAAGTCGCATACGACAAATATAGTAATAAGTGCGACTCTCTTGACAAATTGGGGTTAATGTGAAGTTTTAATTTAGCAATGGATATGGCATATCGAAATGCTGTTTTTTTACATATCAATGAACAATTAGAAAATGTTTATCATTATAATGATAGACCACGTTTTCACATAAGGGATGATCCATTTCAATTATCTGAAAGGCAATTTATAAATATTTTTCGATTGAAAAAAGAAACAACAATCAGGTTTATTGATATTGTAGAAAATTATATTTAGAACCATTACGACCTACTGCTTTGGACGCAACTTTACAAGTAAGTATAGACAATACATACAGGATATAAATTAAAGTAAGTATAGACAACACATACAGAATATAAATTATTAAGACTTTTTTCTAGGTTTTAGCAGCATTACGCTTTTTTGCATCAGGAAGCTATCAGAATTGCATAGGACATAATATTCATACAGCAATTAGTCAACCTTCTGTTAGCAGATGTATTCGCAATGTAACTAATATTCTTAATTTACCAGAAATATTTAATAATTGGGTTCGTTTTCCTCACAATATTCAGGAACTGCAACAACTACGTAACAAGTAAGAAAGGATATAATCTACATTAAGAATTATACATAATTGTGCAGATAAAATTACATCATATTATATATTTATATGTACATGTATATATACACATAGATTTTGGATAAATCATCGCTTTCCTGGAGCCATCGGTTGTATAGATTGCACTCATGTAGCAATTGTTTCACCTCCGAAAAATGACGAAAATTATCCTGAACATATTTATATTAATAGAAAAGGATACCATTCTATAAACGTACAATTGGTAAAGAATATAGTGCATTAACAATTCAATTAGGCATTTATACAAATAATGTAATTAAAGCTTTATTTGCAGATATGTGATTCTGATCTTAGAATAATGAATGTGAATGCCCGATATCCAGGAAGCACTCACGATTCATATATCTGGAATAATAGTAATGTTCTTCCTATAATGCAAGAGATTTATAATCGTGGACACAATTTCTTTTTACTAGGTAATACCTGATTGGTTCATGATACCTCAAGGCTGAACTTAAGACAGTCTTAAATTTAAGATCTGACTATGAATACCGGCCTATATTGCTTTACAGGTGACTCCGGTTATGCTCTTAGACCTTGGATGATGACTCCAGTAATGGATAATGAACTTAATATTGCAACGAGAAGATATAATAATCAGCAAAAGAGCATTAGATCATTTATTGAACGTTGCAATGGTCTCTTAAAAATGAGATTTCGTTGTTTATTAAAACATAGAGTTTTACATTACCGGCCAGATGTTTGCTCAAAAATTATTAATGCTTGTGTAGTGCTGCATAATATGTGCATTCATGACAATGTGCCTATACCTACACTTGAAATAGAAGATGAAGTATTGGACTTCGGTATGAATGTTATGGATGGTGTAAATGAATTGGAAATAGATAGAGCAGGTAGAAATCACGAACTGACAGTTGGCCGAAGAATCCGCAACAATCTAATAAGACAGTATTTCTCATGACAATATAGCTTTTAAGACTCACTTTTATTTAACATTTTGTATTTAAATATATATGTAAATACATATTTTTATTAAAAGTATAAATACAACTTTAGTAACCAATAATATAATAACATACATTAGTAATGAACTTAATTCCTTTCTTTCCTTATTTGGTAATGTATTTTAAAATAATTAATATAAATAAAATAAATTTTATTTATGTTCTTCATATAAATGATATTTTAAAAAAAAACAAAAAAAGCAATGTACTAGCAAAGCTAAAACAAGAAGGGTCGAACATAAAATTAATAATTTCTTGTCTTTAACAGAAAATACATGTTAATTTAACATATATTAGTTCAAACGTAATAATTAATAATGTAATAATTAGTAACGTAATAATTAGTAATTAGTATTATTTATAACGTAATTCAAACGTAATAATTTATTATTTAAAAAAAAATGCGTGAAATTATATTTAATTATTAAACTAAATGAAATAAAATTAAATTTTAATCAACGTAAAATTTGACTCACAGGAACTTTGGTTATAAATACTCTAGTATTATTTCACAGCTTATCAGTCTTCAATGTTTTTAAACAGTTGCTCCAACAATGTGCATATTTTTTCTTTAGCAATAACATCTCTTTTTTTTATATCTAATTCCATCTTATAAAGTTTTAATTTTTTTTCATAATATGATTGTCTTATCTCGTAATCTTTCTGTGAAATTGTAGTCAATTTTTCAGTCTGTTCTATTGATTTATCATATCTTTGTGCAGTAGTTCTTTTAATACCTTTTTTTATTGACACCGAATTTAAAGTTGGTGTTATAGAAATGTGTGATGTATTGATAGTTGCAGTAGTTGGCGTTTCTACTTCAATTGTTTTCATGTTTGTTGAAGATTGTTTAATGTTATTAGTACAATTGTCATTGTTTAAACTTATTTCTGATGCGTCATTTTTTTCAGGTATGCTGCTATAATTATTTTGAGGAAACAATGAATTTTGTGGTATAGGTTCTTGTGTTATCTCTTGATTAGTGCATATTATGGAAAATCTTTCTCCATCTCCATCATTATTTACGTTACATACATTTGAATTATCTAACCACTCCTGCAAAAAAAGTCAATATACAGACCACTGTCCTAATATTAATTTTTTTACGTGTTTTAGAAATTATTATACAATATGACAAAGATTGCTTACAAATTGCACGTTAGATTCCTGCACTGTTTCATGTCCTTCTACGACTGTTGAACCTATAAGTGCTAGGACATTTTGATCAATTTCTGTTAAAACCTGATTTGATGCAGGCCCTCCACCAGTTTGTTTTGCATGCTTCTTAATCAAAGTATTTTTGGCTTTAGTGGAACTTCTTATGTCTTGCCAAGTCTATAATACAAATAAAATAGACCCAAATTATCAAAAGTATATAAATTCTTGTGTTCAAAGAATTTCAGTTGTCTATCAATATACATATAATACATATATACATATAATACATACTTTTCGCCACTGTTTCCAACTTTTTACTGCACCAGGTATTTTATGTAATTCATCTGTTGCTTTTTCCCATAATTTCTGAGCATGTTTAAAAGTAAATGTTGCAGAAAACTTGCCACTTTGCAGTTCTGGATGTTTTTGCACAAATTCTGTAATTTAACAATCAAATATTATAGGACATTTGTATTAAAAAATTAATAAATAATTATTACTTGTCTATAGCTATTGTTTATTCTATTATTATCTTTAAACATAAAAACGCATTTGCTTTTAAATTAGTAATACATATATATATATATCTTTAAATACATTTGCTTTTAAATTGATAATACATATATCTTTAATTACAAATTGTAGTTTTAAAGTAAAAAAAGTTCGTTTGTAAATTCAAAAGAAAATCTGTTAAGCTTAAAATGAATTTTGCATATCTAGAGTTTAAGAAAGAATAAGCAAATTGAAAGCAAATTACTTACCAAGCAGTAAATTTTTCTGTTCTTCATTAATATATGCACAGCGTTTTTGCACTACATTTAATACTGATGCCATTTTGATTCGCAGTTTTCACTATTAATATTTTGTAAACTAATGATATGTATTATTTTGATACATAGAGCAGATCATAACCTTTAAAAGTAAATACAGCTGACCTGTTACATTCTCTTATAACTCTGTTCCTATTGGCTTTTATATTTTTTTGACATGTGGCAACGTTGCACAATTATCATATACGAAAATTATCACTAACAACATATCGCATGGCAGCGGAGAATACGATTTCGAAGTCGCATACGATACCGACCGTGCGATATTTTCCGTATACGATACTTATCGCTTGGTTTCAAGAATAAACCCCCTGGTGACACCTTCGACTCGGTGATTAACAGTTTCGATCGCACCACCGATCCTCTCCCGCAGGGCACCTACACCATCGGCCCTGACTATTTCGATCTCGAGGAAATCCGAGCTGCTATAGCCGGACAATTTCTTAGAACTTACATTCCAGTCTTCATTCCCAGTTCCCCCTTTCCTTATCTAATCCCGATCGACCTTTTCCATGACCTCTTCCCTTCTTCCACTGTCATAATTAGAGAAATTTAATAAAACAACATGTATCGCCTCACTGCTCATATACAAATACAGACTCACGCTCGCCCTATGTCAACATTCTCTAGCGGCAAAAATGTTCTTATTCTTTTATAACCAGCCAGCAATTTTTGTGATTATTAATTGTAACATGTAGATAATCGGATTTTTTTTTCTCTTTGTAACACGTATTTAACCAACTTTATTAATTGTAACATGTAGATAAAATTAATTTTTACATTAACCCGTAGAAATAATTTATTATTTCTAAGCGCGTACAATTAAACTGTAATTTAGCAATATGTTTAGCAATAAATTAGAACATTGTTAAGATGTTAACTCTCCTTTCATTTCATCAAAAACCAAAAACGACCTCGTACTCCATCGCCTTTCAGAGATCGCACGTGGTCCAGTCCCGAGTTATAAGGATTAGATTCCTTGACTCGAAATTAGGACTGACGTACGCACTGCTCGTAGGAAACAGGTGTTATAGCGTCCCTTCGGGATGTTGACCCATATTCCGTAGCGATAAGAAGTGCGTCCGACTCTCAGGTATTCACCTCTGCGCGTATACCTGTGAGATAAAGTCTGCACGTCTTTCCATACCTTCTCCATCTCCATCCTTGTCTCTCCCATCCGATATCTAATTTCTAGGGGCTTGGACGTAACATATGCATATTAGGGGACCGCGCCGATGCCCTTGACCTTGACATATATTGTCAAGGTCATGACAATAATTTTAATTCTAACAGGTATTAGATGGTGGTCATCCTTCGTTAAAATGTTACAATATTAACAAAAAAAGTTTGAAAAATGGTGTTCCTTTTCTACTATATGAAACAGAAATTTTCTGCTTTAAAATATATTTTACGACCCACGCGAAGTAACTTTTACCTCATCTCCCTCCTGCTTAGGGGCGCACGACTTCCACGCGAAACGAGTTCCACCCCATCTCACTAAGTTGCTTCGCGTGGGAAGTCGGACGCCCCTTGGCAGGGGGGTAGGCGGGGTAGAAGTCGCTTCACGTGGAAGTCGTACACCCTTGAAGCAAGGGGGAGATAGGGTGGAAGTTCCTTTACGTGGAAACAATAATCTTTATTTTAGACCACATACAAAAAACACAGTCAATTAGTACCTAAATAGCCTAAATGGTCGAAGCTAGATCTTTAATATTTAAAATAATTTAATCTTGAATCATCAAATATATACTGTATATGTACTTGCATATATACCGTATTTGTAGTCTTTTTCAAACTGCGCGCCGAATTTTTTCTGGACTATAATTTGAATTAAACCGTAGTAATCTCGCGAATTAAATTAATTTCTAATTTTCGATGCTCAATTAGGCATCATATTCTAAAGATGTTAATATGTTGGAAAAAACTGTAATTAAATTTATTGCAGAAAATGTTACCTCGGCCGGGAGTCGAACCCGGATCTCTTGTATTCCGAGTGTCCTAAGCCATTAGACTACCGAAGCCTCAGTAATATTCTTCGGTTTGAAAAAGATTATAAATATATGGTATATACACTGCCGGTCGAAAATCTTTGGACACCATGCATACTTATTGTATACGGATAAAAATGTTTAAGACAAACATGAATATTCGATCAAAACCAAAGAAAATATTCAATATTTATTTATAAAGTATAAGAAACAAAACAAAACATTATCATTTGACTCTTACGAACCCTTGGAAAAAAATAAAACCTTTGTAATCTTCTAAAAATAAGCATTTAATTAACAACAATGATTTCAATTTCCATTCCGCTTGGCACTGTATCTTTGTCCGTGTGTTTGCAAATATTTCCGCTATGTTTCTTTTGTGTCATCGTAACGTGAAAACAATTGTAGAAAGTTGAGAGGCAAGGATTTGATAACAAGGTATGTGCTCTAGTTAATACAAGTTTTTATTTTTTATTGAATTGAAAAAAAAATGTTTGTGTGAATTATAAGAGATGGCTCCGCGATGGCATTGCAAACAAATGTGGACCGAGAGACGAGGACCGTAATCGATGCATACTACAACATTGATGGTCTTTCTATTCGTAACATTGCCTCAAAAATGAAGATCCCCAAGTCCACTGTTGCATATACCATCAAGCATTTTCGTGAAATTAGAACCAACAAAGATCGATCACGGATCGACTACGAAAGCTGAAGAAGTCCATCGTGCTGCTCTCCAAACGAGATAAGCGGCGAACTACTTCTATAATTCAAGCAGATTTCAACTTAGGCCACAACAAGCAGATATTTGTAGCAACTATCAAAAGGAGACTTAGATTAGCTGGTCTCTTTGGTAGAGTTTCTATACGGAAACCATTTCTTCGTCCAGTAAATAAAAAGAAAAGATTGTAATGGGCGCAGAAACACAAGAATTGGACTATAGAAGATTTTAAAAAATGTGTTGTGAACGGATGAGTCCAAATTTGATATACGAAAACCATTTCTTCGTCCAGTAAATAAAAAGAAAAGATTGTAATGGGCGCAGAAACACAAGAATTGGACTATAGAAGATTTTAAAAAATGTGTTGTGAACGGATGAGTCCAAATTTGAGACATTTGGCAAAAGAAGAATATACGTACGACGCTCGGCGAACGAAAAAATGATGCCCAACTTCATTACACCAACTGTCAAACATGGTAGAGGATCCGTAATGATTTAAGAGGCATTTTCCTACTCTGGAGTGAGTGCTCTGTATAAAATCAATGGAAATCTCGATCAGAAAGGATACCACAAAATCCTTGTTCATCAAGCAATTCCTGTAGGAAATAAACTGATCGGCCGGGGATTCATTATGCAGCAAGATAATGATCCGAAGCACAATTTAAAGTTTTGCAAGAATTTCTTGATGAAGAAAAAAGAAAAGAATATACTAAAATTAATGGAATGGCCACCACAATCGCCTGATCTAAACCCAATCGAATTTCTATAGGAAGAACTTGACCGTAAAGTGAGGAACCAGTGTCCAACCTCTCAAGAAAGCCTCTGGAATATATTAGAAGTCTCTTGGAAGCAATTAGAGCCAATTATTTTGCAAATTCTAATCAACAGGATGTCCAGAGTAGTTAAAAATGTGTTAAGGATTAAAGGTGGTTTTTTTGATGAAAAGAAGGTTTGACTTTTTCTAATCGTAATCTCAAATGATAATGTTTTGTTTTGTTTCTTATACTGTATAAATAAATATAATAATAATATTTTCTTTGGTTTTGATCGAATATTCATGTTTATCTTAAACGTTTTTATCCTTATACCGTAAGTATGCATGGTGTCCAAAGATTTTTGACCGGCAGTGTATGCAAGTACATATTTAATATATTTAGTGATTCAAGATTAAATTATTTTAAGCATTAAAGATCTAGCTTCGACCATTTAAGCTATTTAGGTACTAGTTGATTTTGCGTGGAAAGTCGTAAAATATATTTTAAAACAGGAAATTTCTGTTTCATATAGTAGAAAAGAGATACTATTTTTCAAACTTTAAGTCTAAATATCTCAGAAACTATAAGAGACCGCCATGTAGTTGTTAAGACAAAGTTACTCAGAATCATGATCTTGGCAACATATGTCAAGGTCAATGAAGCCATATCCCTTAATAAGCATAATTAATAATCTTTCTCTAGCCTATATATCTTTACCGAGATGGTGTTGATTTGTAATATATGGACAAATATTTTAAAATAAAACATAAGAGTATAATACAATTGCTGTTTCATAATG